ACTCTCCTCTCCTTTTAAAGACCTCAGAACCACGCCCCTGACCACCATTTTTAATCCATTCACTACAGCATGGTCCACAATCTAATTACCTCATCAAGGCTCCACCTTTCAATGACCATAATAGGATTTCCCACCCTTTTAACAGTCACAGTGGGGGCCAAGTTTGCAATACGTAACACTTGGGGGACACAATTCAAGCTTCAGTGAGTTTCGGGGGGACATAACTGAATCCACGACAAAGGGCTAGGAGAACCAAGCACAGAAATAAAAGATAACTTATAGATAAAATAATTACATCATTTAGGGATAGGCCTAATATTTGACCCTCTAGATTAGCAAGAAAGCTTAGGGTCTCATAACTTTAGCAGGACTGCAACCCAGGGTTTCAGAAGGATTTATTGGACATTTTACCTCCAAAAGGGTGTCCTCTACAGGGAAATAGTATGCTGCATGTGTATGTATAGTGCATTCTGGAGATTAAGCACTGTAAATGTAAAGTTTCGGTATTAAAAAAGCAGACACCTGGTATCCAGTATTATGTGAACAAAATTCTATAGACTACCCAAAGCAGCCATATATAACCACCTGTATTGACTGTGTTCAAAAAGCACACTGAATTGGTTCTAAAATGTATGGAAATAGCCTTGAGCAGCAAGGAATAATCAGCAAGAGAAACACCTGCTATCTAATCTTTCTCCTGCAATCTGCATTGGAAATCATAAGGCTGGAAAATATCTAGAGAGGGCATCTGGTCTGCATATACACTCTCATCCCATTTTCAAAGATCTCTATTTAGATCTCTAGTCTAGCCTGTTCTTATCTTAAATCTTAGCACCTATAGTCTAGGAGTAATTCCTTCTCTCTTATCAGTAGAGATGATGAATCGCTACTTTCCTGTAAATACTTTTACATACTTGGAAATCATTAAGTAACTAGTTTTCTTTCATTAACAAGATAACCACAATTACTTTAACCTTTCCCAAAACGTTCATTAATCTTTAGACCTCTTCTTACTGGGGTATCTCTTATCACATTTGAAACATACTCCAGTGCGCTCACCGCACTCACTGGCTGAGCGCGTTGCAGCCAGTCTCAAAAAAGACAAAAAAAAAAAAAGAAAAGAAACATACTCCAACACTGGTACTTTAATATGAGCTTCACAAATACCCAGGATTTTAATTATTTCGTGATTCATTCAAACATAAACAGTTTTATTTGTAAGTAGCAATGCCATATCTTAAAATCAATGATTTAAAACAATGTTCTAGGTATTAGGGTAACTGATTCCATATAGCTTACATTATAGTGGGAAAAAAAGACAAAAAACCAGTAAACAAGTAAGATATCACATTGAGGTAAATGTTCTTTAAAAAAAAAAAAAAGTAATAGGAGTTGAGAAGCCTTTTGTGACAAGGTAGCACTTGATTTAAAACCTCTAGGAACGCAGTAGCCCTGCAAGATATGAAAAGAATGTTCTAAGCAATTTTTGGCTAAAGAAGGTTAAACAAGTTATGCTGCTATATATTTATGTGCATTCTTTCCGAATTATATAACCTTGTACTACTCCCTACCAAATCTTGTTCTTATTTTGAAAACTAATTCTTTCAAAAGCTTTTCATTACTTCCTTGATTGGTGTATCCCATATGTGTAAGAAGCATGCCTTCTAATTTAAGTAAGTATTTCCTAATAATATTAGCTAATATTTAGTTTAAGAGTGTTTCTGCCAAATAACAACCATTGAGGCCTAAATTAGTTTTCTAGAAAATAACGTGGTGATATTTTGTAGGTAAAACAGGTTGAAAGGAAATTGGCAGAGTGTGACCCATTCAGAAGATGAGCATAATGGGAAGATGAACCACTGATGGGCTGGTCTAATAGTAGAGAAAGGGCCCAACAGAGAAGTTAAGAGGATGATAGGTTATGTATGTGAGACAAAGAAGCAAACCAAGGACTGGACGCTTAGCTCCATTGGTTAGAGCATGGTGTTATAACACCAGGTCAAGGGTTCAGATCCCCATTCTGGCAAGCTGCCAGGGGAAGCAAATCAACTGACAAGGTTGGAAAAAACCTCCCCCAAGACATTAGCTCTTGGAGACATGCTGCCACCACCTGGGCAGGCAATTTTGAAATATGGAGGGATTTTAGTTATTATCAATTAACAATTACAGAATGCAAAAAAAGTTTTATTTTATGAAATCTGCATTTTTTGGTGAAGTTTTTGGATATTAAAAACAAGCAGAGATTTTGGCCAGATGTGTTTAGAATCCTGCTCTACTTTTTAAGGCTCTGGTTCCTTATTTATATAATGGGTATAAGAACACAATCATGTGGGGTTGTTTACTATTAAGATTAGCTATAACAGATGGGAAGCACTTAGCCCAGTACTTGATACAGAGTAAGTACTCAATAAATAGCTTTCAAAAAATTATTATTCTTCAGTATGATCTTTCAAATATCACTGAAACATGACTACTTTTTAAAAATTACATAAATGTGCCTATTAAGAAATGTATTTACATTGTGTTTCGATGGGAAAAAAAAACCTTGCAAAATAAAACTTAGGGAAAAAACCAATTCTATCAAAATAAGTCAAATTGTAAAGAATTATTGCAGGAAATAAGCACATGTGCAGGTGAGAGAGCTCTCAAAGTTTCTTAGGAAAGACTAAATTATTATATTGTTATTATATTATTATTGTTACTAGTATTATGAGTAGAATCTCCGGTTTCACTTATTCACAACTGACATGGGTTAGAGTGAAATGTAACTTTGTACAAACCAAGAGAAAAAGACTTTTTAGCAAACAAATAGCACAAAACTGCTAGAGCTTACCTTCCTTCTCAAGAGAAAAACCTGTTAGAATTTTATGACTCCATTTACAAAATATAATTACAATAGAACACACTAGTGTTGATCAGGCTGGTAGTATGATATGCTACACAGGAATTATTCTTATGCAAAGGTAGACCCTACTTAATACTGTAAGGTTTTATTAATTTGGTTAAAGTTACATGAATAAGAATAACTTATTTTATTTCTTAAAAATAAATAAAGCAGCTCTTGTTTTATTATTCTAAATTGGTATTTTAAAAGACGTTTGAGAGAGAATAAAAAGCAAATTCAGCATCTTTTCAAATAAAAAATAAGGTCTTAAGAAAACTGGCAATGATGTTTCTACTAAATACCTTATTATGCTGCTGTTTATGAAGCATGAGTCAGGAAAATGGCCAAATCTAGTCCAGTTCGGATTTTGAAGCTAAAATGGCACTAGGGATCACCTCGTACACCTTCCACACACAGAACAGGATACAGGCTCAGAATGATTATCACAGTGCTAAGACCTGTGACTCTCAACTCACAAGGAAAGACTACTCACTAGAGTAGTCCACAGCATCGGATCAATCTTGACACCACCCTTACTTAAGGCAATGCAGATTGCAGTAAGGAGGTCCTCTGTGGCAACCCCTATGCTGCTCCTGGGCTTGTACCCCACCCTGATATTAAGTAGAAATTAGATCAGTAAAATCAGACCGTGAAGGCCTGGTCTAGATTACAGCCAAAGAGCTACAAAGGTGATCTACTTATGTGCCTTTTCTTCCTGCTCAAGAGTCCTGTGCTTTTAACCAGGGATACAACAGAGGAACTGCTGGGAGGCAGTAATTTGAAAAACTGTCTATCCATGATAAAAATAAAACGCACACACACATCAGCCTCTGGAGTGAAGGATGTTGAAAGAATAAATTCTGACCCCATCCGGGATTTACTACTTGGGCAAGTTTAAAAAAAAAAATCAGTTACCTCTAGCAAGTAAAGTTTTCAATGCACCCAATCCAGTGACTGGGTTTGCTTTTTCTGGCTACTACAGGTACAGGCTAGGTCTAAGCAGCATAGACTTTGAAATCATCCAGGTTTTCAAACAAGAATGAGTAAGAAAACAGCTGCTGGTAATACAACATACAAACATTATTATATGCCCAACGAACAGTTTTTTATATAGTAAGATTATCTGCCAAAAGCCTGTTCCCTGATAAATAATAGTTACTGTTGTTATCCTAAATTAGTTATACATGTTACAGCTAGCTCCTCAAAGAGAACATTCTACAGTCTTTCAAGAATAAAAACTTGCTTTATTTGGCACACAACAGTGAAGAGGTGTTGCAACATTTGCCAGAGGCAGTCAGAGCAGTTCAAGTGCAAGCAATCACAAAATTTGGTCACCAACCAAACCAGAGCAAGTTTTTCAGTTCCTATAAATTAGAAGACAATATTAACTCACCCTTTCTGCTTGTTGACTTTCACATCCCTTTATTTGTGCATTGAAATAATAAGTACCCATGGGAACATTAAGCACCGACAGTCTGATTATTTATCATCAAGTATACTTTGGGCAAGTATCGACCGTTCTTTTGTGAAATGAGTTAGATTCTTAAAAACAAAAGCCCTGTTTCACACAGCACGGCTGCATTTCCCCTTGGTTCAGTGGACCCATCACCGCCCAGCTTCTCTGTCTCTTTCATGTGAGAACTAAACTATTGTCCAACCAGGAGAAGAGGAGCATGGGGTGTGGTGCGGACCAGGATGAATTCCCCAGAATCCTTCAAGGGTCGTTGTGTGACCCTCGCCTTGACTTTGGGCAGCTTGTAGGGACCAACTCCTTTCTGGCCGTCGCTCTTTGCTCAGGACCAGGAGAAGAGGAGCATGGGGTGTGGTGCGGACCAGGATGAATTCCCCAGAATCCTTCAAGGCTCGTTGTGTGACCCTCGCCTTGACTTTGGGCAGCTTGTAGGGACCAACTCCTTTCTGGCCGTCGCTCTTTGCTCAGGAACGCCCATAGGGACCCTGCTCTAACCGTCCGGCTTCAGCGCGGCCGGAGGGCTGTTTCCCGACTGACCTCGGGGGGCAAAGGCAGAGGCCCGGGAGAGTCGGACGCGCTCCCCGAGGCCGCCCCGCGCCTCCTGGCCCACTCCTTGGTCCCCGGCAGCAGACGCGAAATTTTACATGTCATTTATAGGTTGCACATATAGAATTAAAAATTTTCCACTTAAAATTTTATTACAATTACTGTGAAAAGTTGTTACTTAATTTTTTTTTATTCTTTTCAACTCACCTACTATGTAGAATTTAAACCTTCTCTCAGAAGTGTCCGATAGAACTAATGAAGAAGACAACACAACCAACCAAGGGTCATCTGAAATTGTGATTGGCTCACTAATAATCCCAGGACAAAGTTAGACATCACTACTCAAGCCTAAGGTACATGAATTTTTTTATCCCAGCTGAAACGTAAGTGTCTCTATGTACACTTATTCCCTACCCAGGTATTCTAATTCTCCATTTTGAACAGAGTTTGACACAAACATGAAAAGCCTTTGGGGCAAAAAAGAAAATGTCACTCAGTTCCACACCATCCTCATTTGGCAGATGGCCCTCCTTTACCAACTCAAAATGAACAAAATTCATGGTACCTGTTATGGCTACTTTTCTCATTTATTAAATTATGTTTATTCCAACAGGGATTCTCAAAGGTGAAAAGGCATAAAATAGCATATCACTTTTTGCTTATATCTCTTGGCATATGAATGTGGATATCATCATGGCTCCTTTACCCTCTCTTTTCCATTCATGGAAATAGCCATCTATTACCTCCCTTTCTCTTGAGAGCATTTCATATGCTCTGTGCTTGTCCTTTTCAAACACCAAATTTGATGATTTGTATTTTTGTTAATTAGTACTTACTAGTACTAAGGATATGCCAAAAAATGATAAACAGGATTCAGCTGTTTCCTGGAATGAGTATGTAGCACTTTAAAAGTCTGCAGCTAAACTGGATAAGTGCGCCGCTCCCGCCCGAGGGTTCGGATCCCACATACAGACCGGTTCCCGCTCACTGGCTGAGCGAGGCGCGGGAGCAGCACCGAGGGTTGCGGTCCCGTTGCCGGTCCCCGGGGTCCGGTACAGGGGCAACACTGAGGGTTGGATCCGTTGCCGGACACGGAAAAAGATAAAAGACAAAAAAATAAATAAATAAATAAAAGTCTGCAGCTAAATAGTTTGTCTTGAATATAGGAGGAATGTGAGAATGCATAGTCTTTGTGACAATCACATGATTTTTCCTTTTATCTTCTATAACTTTACATCTCTTGTCAATTATTCTGGTTGTCCTAGTTGAATTATTTTTTCCTAATTGGAGATATTACTCTACTGAAATAGAACTAACTAGTACTTTTCTATAAAACAAACTAATGCGTGGTAATGGAATTCTCGGTTAACTGGTTGTGTAACTTTTTCAAAATTTGATTAACCACATAGTCTTTCTCCTGTTGTTTTGTTCCTCTGCCCCCACAGTTTTCCTAAGACTGCTACAAAGATGTTTGATATAAAGGCTTGGGCTGAGTATGTTGTGGAATGGGCTGCAAAGGACCCATACGGCTTCCTTACAACAGTTATTTTGGCCCTTACTCCACTGTTCCTAGCAAGTGCTGTACTCTCCTGGAAATTGGCCAAGATGATTGAAGCCAGGGAGAAGGAGCAAAAGAAGAAGCAAAAACGTCAAGAAAATATTGCAAAAGCTAAACGACTAAAAAAGGATTGAAAAAATGAACAGGCTTTGCAACCAGAGGAAAATCATTTGGAAAATTATGCAGCTTTGAAAGAATGCACTAAGATTCCTTTGGATTTTATGACAGTATTATTTCATAAACGAAATCTGACTATATGGAAGAATCAAGTTAGTTCTGATATCAGTACTGTAACTTTTAGGCTTGGGTATAGAAGTTTGTTATCTATTGAGTTATTGTAAATTAGCATTTAGTAAGGTACAAATTCTTTTTTATAACTGATTTAGTTATTTGCCATTTAGCAGCTTACATATTGCAGTGAAAACATCTTGTGGAGAAAAACGACGTTAGATTATGAACTGTATTCAAATTAAGATTTAAAATGGGATCCTGTTCAGGACAAAGGAAATTAAGAATGTTAAAGTCATAATTTTCCTCTCTGAGGTGAAGAGTATGCTTTGGCTTAAAAGAGATACAGTATATTAATCATACCTTTTTATCATTATTGCTTATTTGTTGGAATAGAATCATTTCTGCCTTTCTCAAAGCAAAGTAATATTTTCTGCATTTTTCTGATTTCAGCCTTTGAGACAGTGGTAATTATCAAGACATTCTGCATTTTTGAAACCTAATTTTATAAAGAATTCTCTTATCCTGACTAGAATACCACCTACTGGATATAACAGCTTTTTTTACTTATGAGCGCTGCCATTTTCTTAGAGGTGACTTGTTGAGAAGAGCAGCACTGTTATTTAAAGCTTGCAGTAAAAATACCAAATACTATAGTAACTTGGAGCCAGTTTATTCTCTTAATATGTAGAACTGTAAAATATTTCAAATGTCTTATCACATAATTTGCTGGTTATATAGATACCACTTTTGTTTTTTATTCCATTCTTTAACTTATGTGGTAGTGATGTCCTGAATTTTTTGATCAAACAAGTTCAAAGTGAAAATTAAAATTTCAAATTTCTTTTAAAGAACTCTTAAAGAGTAACAGTTAAGTCATATTTCATAAGTGGTAAAGAAAGGCTTAAAGTTTGGAATAATTTTGTTGGGCATAGTTGCAGTTGGGGGAAAGGAATAAATTATGTTAAAATGAGAATGTGCTATAATTAGAAGTAAAGATCTAAAGTGTTTTCAATTAAATAGTATAACTGGAACTTTTTACTATTAAACATGGCTTTTATAAATGCATGGTTCAGTAATTTTATTCACTGTCAGTACTATTTAATAGCTTATTAATGTTTTCTGCACCTCTGATAATGAATTTTCAGTTAAAAAAATTGTCCGACTCTATAATTTTAAAATAAAACTAGATATTGAAATAAATTTGATACTTTTTATAAAGAGGTTCTAGGTTTTTGTGTTTTTTGGGGGGGGTAATAATTTAAGTGAGATATGTTATGAAAGTCAGATTTTTCAAAGAGTTATGAATTTCACTTATAGCTAAGCACTCTTGTAAAAGTTTAGGACAGCACCTCTCAAGTTTGAGAACCTCAGGACCCCGAAGACTGGTTGTGGATCAGTTTGAACAACACGTAATGCTATTATTTTAGGTTGTAGTTATGAGTTAGTTACTCAGGTCATCTAGGAAATACTTTCTCTATTATCATTGAAATTAAAACCTTGGGTCTACAGAGCCCAGTTTAAGAAAAATGAGGTTAAGATATGTCTAAAATACAGTTTCCAGCAGTTGAGTTGTTCATGGAAAGAATTTATATATGTGTGTGTGATATATATTTTGTATATGGCCACATTTTAGAGTAGAAGCATTGAAGCAAAGAATCTAGTCGTTATAATTCTCAGTTATCTACTAAAGCTGTGGTTTCATTGGTTCTGTTGTGACCGTTTAAAGGTATTTAAAAGTCTTTTTTCTATAATTTCTATGAAAGTCTTAACACATGCCAATTTTGTATTTGTTTGACATTTGTTACTCCGCTTTTCCCAACATTTACAGAGCCTTTTTATACCTGTGAGATCAACAAAGTTTTATAGTATTTGTGGCTGTGTGTGTGTGTGGTGGTGGGGAGGTGTTTAAAATAGAGAATATTGTGAGGTTTGAGATTCTTCAGAAAAATCCATCTTATTTCACTGAATCAAATAGTACAATTGTTGAAAGAATTCCATTTACTATTATCTAGAATATTTCTTTAAAAAATTTGCTTTCCTATTTAATTGTGCTGTTTCTGAAGTTCTAAGAACTGAATACAATCTATTACCTTTTTATGGCTGGTTTTGGGGGGAAAAAGCAAGTTGTCCCCAGGCTGCCTGTAACAAACATTTTACCTAAAATAAAATAAAACAAAAATTAAATAGATGTTTGTGTGTTAGAATTTGGACCATGTGATAAACTTAAGCATGGCCCTACTGTATATCAGATGTGTAAGGACATGTTTTACTTTTGTTTCTTTACAGTAACAAACTGGAAATAAGCTTAGGAAGCTGTAAGCTGGAAACCTAATGTTGAAATAAATTATAATTACCAGTGCCTCACCCAATTCCTTCCTTCATTACACGAAGTAAAGGAAAGTGGCAAGGGGTACTTTATATTTTATCTGGTTCTCAGAGGAAATTTGATCCTATTAGGATGTATTGTTTTCATGTTTGCAACTGAATCACTGATTTACTTCATATCTGGAATAAATATTTAGAGATAAATTCTGCATTTCTCAAACACATTAAAAGGGATTTCACGCTGAAATACAAAAGTTTGGGGAACATAAGTAAAACCTGGACAGGTTTCTTTCCTGCATGATTTTTTGGAATCTTTTAACTTAATTTGACTACTACAGACTCGCCTTTATGCCTCTTCCCCAAAGAACATAAGTTTGAGAAAGCCTGGTTTAAATTCAGGTTACATTTTAAATAAAAAGATCTATATAACGGCACTGATTCAAGGTTAGTAAAATAAAATGACAGCCAGAAATCTATTAGTAAAAGTAGGAATAGAAAAGGATTTTCTCCAGTTTGGTTGGTTTTTAACTTAAAATATCTAGGATATAGCTAATAGGCTAGGTTTATATGATTAAATCCAATAGCCAACAACACTTTCTACACTTCAGCAGTTTGCATAATGTTAAGCCCATTACTGTAAAAAACCAAAAACATACGATATGCAGAGGCACAGAAAGTCAGGAAGGATTTATTTCAGAGAGTACTTAAGGTATATATGATATTCTTAAATTAGGTTAACATTTTTACTTGTGAAATTAAACAACTTTGGGCATAGGCTTGAAGTCTGGTCTTGAACAGATGAAAAGACATTTTGATAATAAAAAATTTGTAAATGTTCAAAGTATAACTATTTAAAATGTGAAATATGATAGTGGTAGACAAGCTAATTATTTAATATTTTAATTCTGCTTTGCATGTGTCTGGCTTAAGAACCAAGTATTTAAAAAAAAAAAAGTTTAGAAAGGCAAATTTTAATTAGGCCAAGATTACAGTTATATTTTTACATAGGAGATTTAACTGTGTTCTCACACAACCTACCAGTGCAACCAGTCATCTTAAACAAATTAGCCTGGAGGAAAGAAGTATGGATGGATTATTATAAACTTAATTCCCACCTTTCAAAATCACCTTGAAAGTATTTCCTTTTTTTTTTTTTTTAAGAAGATGACCGGTAAGGGGATCTTAACCCTTGACTTGGTGTTGTCAGCACCATGCTCACCCAATGAGCAAACCGGCCATCCCTATATGGGATCCGAACCCGTGGCCTTGGTGTTATCAGCACCGCACTCTCCCGAGTGAGCCACGGGCCGGCCCCCTTGAAAGTATTTCCTAATAATGGTGGGCCAGCATTATCATCTTAGTTTAACATATGGCATTTTCCCACAAGAGAAAGATTTGGCTTTTGCTACTTATGTAAGACAGGTATTTTAAAATGAAAACCATAAAATTGAAAATTAAATTCTGCCGTATGTTATTTATGAAAACTGTATGGGAAACATTTGCCAAACATATATAGAATACAATTAATAGCTAGTAGCTAGCTATTTGGCAGTAGAAACACTAGTGTGTTAAAACATTTATTAGTTTCCTTACAATCCAGTATTTAAGAAAATCTCAACTCATAATCCAATCACACTACAAATTATACTTCCTTTTATATTATCTAGTGGCGAGTTCCTTTTTTGCCTCTATGACAAAATGTAATATCACTTTGTAATGATGTAATAAGACAAACTGTTTAACGTGATATTAACAGGGCTGCTACAACATTGGTATTATCACCTAGGGGTTTTTTGTTATTAAGTATGTTGTAGTGATGTTGTCGTTTGATTACTTGTTTTAGTATGAATGCTTATAATAGTTGTAGTTTTCTGTAGTGTGTTTCTTACCAATTAAAATTTTTACCTGCTATTAAATAAAAATTTTAATCTATGTGTTTTTAGGAATTCATTGTTAACACTCAACTAAGCATAAAAATTTGGGTCATTCATCCAATAAATATTTATTGTACACCTACAAAGGTACTTCAAAAAGTTTGTGGAAAAATAGAATTAAAAGACATACAAATCTTAAAAAGACAAATTTTTCCATGAACTATTTGAAGTACTTTTGTATTATATACCAAACAGTGTGAGAAAGACTCTATATTATAATATCAGCAAAACTTGTTTGTGCACTCCAGAAAACGCATGATCCTCTAAAAATACTTTTATTATGTAATCAGTGTTTTAATGTGTACATTTTTATGTGTACATTTTTCTTTAATATATAAGCCACTGGAGTCCCAACTATCAGTGGAATTGCTTTCTGCTTTCTGAGAGTCCTCTACTTTCCATTTTCCAAAGTAATTTTAGATCTCGTGGAACTCCATTTCTCTCTTTACTGTCCTTTCATGCTTTTGTGATGAATTGTCTACCTATATTGGTCCTAATTCTTCTCTTCAAACTCCAACCACAATCCCACCATAAGCTAGCTTTTGTCTCATCTTCTCATCAAGGTATTTATGGCTTCTGTTTCATTTATCAACTGAATTTTCTTTTCCTGCATGTTTTATCCAAGTTCACATTTTTGATTAGTCCTTTAGAATCCTACATGGTACTTCTCCAGAAATAAAAATGTTTTCACTTTTTTTCTTTTATAATTTGGGAGAGCTCACTATTTACCCTTATTTCTAGCAAGATATATCTGAGGGTGGTTCCTAAATTATCTTAATGATCCAAAATGTACTGAGCATTCACAGCTACAAGGGAGCATTACACCTCTCAAGGGAGTAACCCAAGGAGGGAAAAACAAATCGAAGCAAATTCATAAGCAGAATGATGACTAAATCAAATGAAGGATTAAGTCTAAAAGAAGTTAGCCTTCTATGGTTCATAATCTCACATTTCTTATGCATTCTAAAAATGATCTCTTCATGGAATAGAGAACTATTGTACATTCAGAAAATACAAAGTAACTTTTTACTCCTTTTAATTATTAAAATAGTCATCCATATAAATGAAATTATTTTATCATAGTGCATTCATTGATTGTGGCTCTTGCCGTCTTGTGGCATCCAGGATCCTGGCTGAAAGGTTTTACCAGTGCTGGTGGGAGCCACTGAGGGTTCTTCCTTTCCAAAGTATGGAGCAGAGGCATGACCTTTAATTTGAGTTTGAACTGGTGGAGCCAAGAGTTCCTTGGTCTCTTTACTAAGGTGTTTTTCCTTTTCATGATAATCTTTGCTCGTTGTTTTTATTTCTTCTCTGTATTTTTCATTCTTTAGTATTTCCTGCATGTATATATAAATAGAAGAAATTATTAAATTTTTGGTTAAAAAAACAAAACTAAAGGTCTTATGAAAATAAAATAGTGAGTAAAAGATAAAATACATATTATATACATGATACTTGCTTTGCATTTAAATAATATATAGATATTTATAGGATAAGTTTGAAAAAGCTATTTGATTATATATCAGTGTTATATGAATTAAACAGCTCTGTCCTCATTTTATGCTATAATAGAAAGACATGAAAGATCACAAAATAGAAATATTTACTATTCAAAAAATGAAACTATGTCACAAGAAATATTACACAAGAGCATGAGTCACTCTATCAAAAATTTTCTAAGCTTAACACCTATTTTCTCCCTTAAAACATCATCAATGACTGTACTTTTCCACTGGAGAGGAAGAGATGATGGCAGAAATGAAATCAGAGTTTGGCATGTCCTAGACACCAGTTCCAGAGAGGCATTTTGCTATTTGAAATGCTTCCTCAAATCAGTGCAAACACTTTGTGCAATGCAGTTCTGTTCCTTAGACTCCTTATTCTATTTAGAAGGATCTATACAAAAATTACAATAAATCTTTTTTGTTATATTTCATTGAATATGACTGTCACATTTAAGAAGCATCACTATTATATGTAGCACTAAAAAAGAAAGGCAGTTAAACTCCTTCACACACATTCTGATTTCAGAGATGTTAAAATTTAAAAAGATGTGCATCTTAAAAACAGATGAAGTACACTAACTACATCTTTTATCTTTATTGATTCCTTCCTCTTTTCTTCTGTCTTAATTATTTCTAAATGGGTGTAATTTTTTAATGATCTTTGTGCTAATCTGAATTTTCTGATTTTTCTTTAAGAACAGATGTCATAATATGAAAAATTAATGTTAATATAACTGGCTAATATCTGACAACACTGACAAAAACAAGTTCTCTCAAGTTATTTTTAAATTTAAACACTTTAATAAATGACAGCTAAAGGGCAACATCTGGGCAACATCTCTAAAGTGAATTTCAAGTAATATAGTCTTTTAAAAAGTACTAATATTTAAAATAACCTTAAAATAATGGTTTGCACTTAGAGTAGAAAAAAAAGATTTTTTGGTTATAGTGTTGTAGACTTTTAGTTTTAGATGTGAAAAAGGGCCTGTCTAATACACTTCCCCCTCAAAGAAAACATGTGAGGGGAAGAACAACATTTATAAATATTCTTGTAATTTTCACAACACAGCAATTCCTCATGAATAGATTACTTTAATAACCACGGTAACTATGACTTAGGGGCAGTTGCTACAAGTAAGGGTAAAAGAAGAGAAATCAGGCTTTGCCTTTCCTATACTTTACCGAATTCTTACATCAGGTGATCATATATTACAAAGGAAATCCCACAATACTATACTGGAAATAACAGAAATAGACAAAAATACTTTTTCATATCTTGATGCTCTTCAAGTTCCTATATCTTCATGGAAGCTCATTCTTTGAAACAGAATGGAAGGTTCAGGACCAGATTAAATTTGCTTTAGTAGCTGACCTCAAGTAGCAAGAGGCTATTCAGAAGTTGGCACGGAGCTGGCATGGTTTCAGTATAATAGGATCAGTCACAAAACCTGGAACTGTGCCCATGCCTACTTTATTTACTTCACCTTTTCTGCTGTAGTACTAGAGCTGCTACATGCATATGCCTTCTGAATAAAAGGAAATGGAGGGCGGAGATCTGTTCTTTCTTCTCTCCTGCCTTCACATATTTCTCTTTATTCAACATTACTCTTTCTTATAACAGCTATTTAGATAAATGAAAAGCCAATCTAAACATGTTAGTGATTTTTACAAGTGAAGATGGATTAAAGATTTCAGAATTGGAAAACATGGAGCCTATAATTTTCCCTAGAAAAGAATTTCCTTTTTTAAAAAAATGTTTTTGTTTTAAACTAATTGTTACCAGGCAGACCCCTGCTAACAGCTTCCAGGAAAATTAAACAGGACATAAATCATTTATAAAAGAAAATCTAGTTTCATAAACATTTGGAATTGGCAAAATGAAAGTTCTTCGGGAGAGAAAATAGAAATTTTAGGCTTTAAAGACAAACAGAAATCATCTCTTAAGAAAGTCTATTTCAGAGTAGAAACTACCATAAAGTAAGTATTTTTCCTTATAATTCCTTGGAACAATATCACCTTAAGTCTCAATATGTTTATCAATTATGGTATGTTTCAGTGTTTGTGTAGGGATAAACCAAGAGCAAAGGCATCTTTCTTCACATAAACATATGTTTCAAACACACATATTTTACCTACTGCTTTTCTATCAATAAATAATTTTCTTCAACATTTTTTTTAAAAACTTATATTGTGCCATGATTTACTTAACAACTATCCCTACTGTTGTTTCCAACATTTCACTTATTCATTTAAAAAATAACATTGCGATGACAATCCACATAGATGATTCTTTGATTCAGACTGGGTTCCAATCCCTTTACTAGCTGTGTGATACCAAGAAAGTCATTTAACTTTTTTCAGTTTCAGTTTCTTTATCTGAAATGGGGATAAAATTAACTCATAACAGTACTATGTTTCCTAAGATAGCTGACTATATACTACAAGGTGATTATGCTTTCATAAAACAATGATGTAAGAGTATATTCTTTCTTTTTGTTCCTTTAAGCCTTTTCTAGAGTTCCCTTAGAGGTTAACAGGTCTATGCAGATTATAGATTCTTCCATATTCTAAAGTAAGCCAAACATTATTGATTTAAATGTGTGAATCTTGTTTATATGTGACTGTATATGTATAAATGTTTATATACCAAATACTCAAATGTATACTCTTCACATTGTTAGGTCCTCTGAAAGTTTCTCAGTAGTGTTTAAGAACATGGGCCCTGAAGCCAGACTACCTGCATACAAATCCCAGTTTTGCCATTTACTAGTTGTGTGATCCTGTGAATGTTACCTAAACTCTCTGTGTCTCAGTTTTCTCATATGTAACATGGAGATAACAATACTGTCTTCTTCAGTGGGCTGTTGTAAGGATTGGGAAAGAACTGGCTACCGGGCAGTGACAGTACAATAGAAGAAGGTATAGGTGGATTTTAAAATAGTGACTGTTTATTCCATTCCATTAAAAAATAAACAAACCAAACTCCTACCCACCCCTTTTTGAGATGAGGAAAGGTGTTAATAAGATGTAGTCTACTAATTTCAGGCCAAGATGGAGTAACTGGCACCAGACTAGTCCTTCTGCCATAAAACAACTAGAAAACTGGACTAAAATAAATTAAGCTTTTCAGATACCGAACAATAGGCAGTGCAGTACTGTAAACCCTGAGAGGAAGGGAAACAAATGAGATAAGTCTTGTATCACCCCAACTTTCTGCATTGTACATTATGGGTTGCTGCCCAGAGGTAGGGAATACAAGTGGAGGAAGAAGGTCTCACTAAGCTGATGAGATAGAGATGGTTGTTTAAGGAGGCTGAGGAAGCTGGAATACGTTGGGAAGAATACAGAGAAAGAGTTCTAGAAATTTGCAAAGGGGTCCACTTGAGTGTTCAATAGAATATTAAGCTGCACATGTGTACAGTCAGACTCCACATGGCCAGGAAGAACAACTTCTGCCTAAAGAATACTGGGGAGCTATAGGCTAAACAAGTACAAGAGTTTGTACTGCACTAGGAGACCTTGCTAAACACCTGGGCATTTAATCAATATAAAGACCCTAGAAAGGTTACTCCTTAAGAGTAAGGATAAACTGGCATAAGAAGAGAGTTTACTCTAAGTCTGTGCTGTCCAATACAGTAGCCACTAGCCACATGCTATTTAAATTTAAATTAGTTAAAATTAAATAAAAACATTAGTTCCTCAATTGCACTAACCACATTTCAAGTATGTAATAGCCAAATGTGACTAGTGGCTACCAATTGGAAAGCACAGATATAAAACATTTCCATCATTGCAGAAACTCCTACTGGACCAAACTTCTCTAAATCTGTCGTAACAAAACTTAAAAATAAGCCTCTAAAATTTTGGGCTGATTCATATGTCAATTAATGGTCTTCCAGAACAAAACTCAATATTTTCTAAAGCAAGACAACAAAACTCAAGAAACTAAACAGCATAATATTTCAATGTTCATCATGTAATCAAGAAGCGAAGAAGAGGAAAGTGTGATCCAAAATTAGTCAATGGAAATAGACCCATACGTCACATAAATTATAACATGAACAGATGAGGACTTTACCACAGCTACTATAAAAATATTAAAGATTTAAAGAAAAAAAAACACAAAGAGGAAAGAAATAGAAACTATTATAAAGAACCAAATAAAACTTCTAGAAATGAAAAAAAAAATGAAAAATTTAATGAATACTTAATAGCAGATTAGATACTACAGGGCAACAATAAATCTGAAAACAAGGCAATGGAAGATACACAAACTAAAGAAAGAGAGATTTTTAAAAAGCTTAAAAAAATGAACAGAGCCTCAGATTCAGGACAATATCAAGCAGTCTAACATACATATAATTGGAGTCACAGAAGGAGAAGAAGAAATAACTAAAAATATTCCAAACAGAAAAGAATATAAATCCACACATCTAAGAAGCTCAACAAACCCCAAGCAGGATAATCACAAAACCAAAACACATCAAAATAAAATTACTAAAAACTAATGATAAAAAGAAAATCTTAAAACCAGCCACAGAGAAAAAGACACATTTATATGAGTCAAATATAGGAGAATAGTACTGAGTTCTCATGGCAAACAATGCAAGCAATAAGACAATGGAATGGCTTTAAGGTGCTGAAAAAAATTGCTAACTTGTAATCCTATATCCACTGAAAATATCCTTCAGAAATGAAGGCATAATAATGGCCAGCTGCCAAAAACACTTGTAATCCTATATCCACTGAAAATATCCTTCAGAAATGAAGGCATAATAATGGCCAGCTACCAAAAACAAAACAAAACAAAACAAACAAAAAAATAAAGGCATAAGAAGATTTTCAGACAAACAAAAGCTAAGTTTGTCTAAAGCAAAGCTCTCCTACAAGAAGCATTAAAGGAAGCACTTCAGCTGAAGGGAAATGATATAAGATGGAAACCTGAATCTACACAATGGAATGAATAGTGCCGGAAATGATCAGAATAAAGGACTTTATTGCAGAGAAAAACATCAGAATTTTGGACACCCTGGTCGAGCCTGGATATCCTGGAACTCTATGTCCATCCACTCCAAGTTCCCTGAGCACATGAGGAGCATCATCACACTATCCACTGAAACTACTGCTATAATTTTGAAACTTATCATGATTGTACTCCTACCAAGAGGATTCACAAGCTTTGCAAACCTGGTTCAGGAGAAGCACAGCCTGAAAGGCAAGAGGACTGTTATTACCATGTGTAGCCCTCAAATTAACAACACTCTGCCTCATTACCTCCCTATTCCCATTCAACAAAAACCCTTTGCTTACCAAGCCTTTCATATCTTACACCACTGTCCTGGGTCCCCTGATTTTGGATTTGGATCAATATGTCAATAATGGCCCTTCCTGTCTATCTGAAGCTAAGCCCCATGAAGTTGACAATCAGAAAGTCATGCATGAGGTCAGACCCATTCTGGTATGGTCACATAAAGAGTCTCCTGGAGTGAAGTACTGAAGGATATCATTCTCCACGAATCTCAGGGAAGAAGAGAAAGAAACTATACTGACAATAGTGAAAATATGATTCATATCAAAATTTGTATGTCAAAACTTTTCCTAAATTTATTGTTTATGAATGACCAGTGTTCTGTGACAATCCCTCTCATTTCAACAGGCAGCAGGGATGTTCAGTTGGAGCAAACTAGTTTAGGCTTGAGTTGTTTGAGCCTTGATATTGGGAAAACATACAAATTCATCAGTTGTGAAAAGTATTTTATAATAAATGTTTGAATTTATACATTTTTCTCTGTCAAAGTTATAAATTGTCATTGTTTGTGGAGGATTAGATTGAAAAGGAGATAAAAAAGAAAAGACAGAAAAGTTCCAAATACCTTTAACATGCTCATTACTGTTTTTGTAATGAAGACAAGTTAATGGTTATTTGTTGTGTAATATTCATTAATTCAGTGATGTGAACTCGAGCCCCAAAGGTCGTAGCTCAAGTCCTTTCCAATACTCTTACTTTGCTAAGAGCCCTGCTTAAAAGCCCTTTTGGTAGTTGTACTGTTGTTGTATTTAACGTTGCAAATCGCCATGTGTGGTGACAAAAAGGCTTTTAAAGTTAAAAACAAAACAAAGCTTAAAAACAAACTCCACAAAGCTTAAATATGCCATCTACTTACATGCTAACTTGTAGATCTCTCATAGACATTAGGCATGACATAATCAGTACAGCTATCCCAGTCCAATCATACAGTCCCTTTATGTGAAATCCTAGTATATATGAGTTTTCCACAACGGTGAGGAATTCACCTCAAATATACAGTTATAGCTGTGGGAGATACTAGGTAACAAAACTGGATATCTGGACTATAAAAAAAAGGTAAAACAAATGGCAGACTAAGACTAGAGGTCTCTGTAGTAATGTGTTGGGAGAGATAAAGGAAACCAAGGCAATGTAAATCTGGGCCTTGGAACTGCACTTATATCTGAGAAGGGACAAAACTAATAGCAAGTGCTGTCTGATGTTATCATGACTAGAAGAAAGTTTAGATTACATGATGAATACTGAGGAAACGGAAGGGCTGAGAAATATCTGAGTGAGTTCAAAAGGTCACCTAAAGAGTTTTCTTTCTCAGGTATCCAAGTTATTCTGTGCCTCTGGGCCACGCTTGGACCAGAGGTGTAGGAGTGAACAATTCTGAGTCTATACTATTAAGTGGAATTGAATAGATATAGATCTAAGCATACATACAAAAACATTTTAGGAATATATCTGCTACTACACATTTACATACTAAACAAGGGAAGGTAAATAAAAATTATACAAATTATAAATTACCGTTACTAATTTAAGATATGTAAAATGTCACTAGTATTTTTTATTTTGTGCTTGTATATGTATAAATAAAAATGAATAATTTTTTTCATGATTATCATTCAACATCTCAATTCCCAAACCCAATTTTTCTCTTTAAAAGACTTAACCTAGTCAACTGGGAATTTCTTCTATCAAGGAGTATTTCAGTAATATGCTATACATATCATATATATACACTTTATATACATCATATATATAATACATAAACATGATACTGATGGTGTGATATTCATGTTAAATATAAAATTCCATAATAAGACTTCAAAATAATTTGAATAAAAATTATTTGAATAATTTTTATATTGATACACATGGAATAAAGCTAATGCTCAGCCCTTTATTAGGGAATCAAAAAGTTTGCTTTAAAAGTGCTCTGAATACAGCTAGGAAAAAGGCAGGTTGAATACAGGTATACATATCATACCCTTTTTCTTCTTTGATGTTCTGGCTCCAAGCTCCTCTGGAGTTTAGGATTTATAAATGGTCTCCATTCAAGTACTTGTCAATTCCAAGTATATCATATATAACTATGTTCAAACTTAAGTTCAAAACACATGCCAAGACAAAATATAAATATAGTTTAAAACAAATTCAACAGTGCTTCATTGTTAGAAAGTTTTCAGGAGCAAGTAAAGACTCAGGAATCAGTCTTGCCCATGTCACTGTGTTTTTTCAGTCTTCTATGAGAATAAAACCATGGCTTATTTTAGAAAGCTTAAGTTATATTACACACAAAAACTGGGATAAATTTGACCTTGATAGCTCTATTAATTTCTTTCCATAATTTAAACCATACATATTAGTAAATAATTTTTATTTTAATGAGCATTAAAAACTTAAAGGTATGAGTACATTCCAGAAAATCAAAAATGTTTTTGAAGAATACAAAAGGATTTAGTAAACAGATCATAGGTGAAATTTGGCATGAAGTCAGGACCCCATATCATAGGCATCTGGTTACTGTAAAACTATCACATCCAGAAAGTAGCGTCCCAGAATATACCACACAGCTCCCCATCCTCAACATAATTATAATGGGAATTTGGTGTTTCAAAATGTTCTAAGCTGAACATTCCTTCCATAGTGTCAATTTTGTAACATGTTGAGAAGCAATTCAGGCCTAGCAAGTGCTATAGTAATGTCTAAGCTTGAAAATATTGCCAAATTGTTTAATTAAAGTACTTCTCTAGTTGTACAAGTTGAACTGCCAGGATGAAATAATAAGTTATTAGATCATTCTTTCTGAGTCTGTGAAAGAGAAAAGAGAAAAACGGGGGAGGTGCATAGGTCACCAAAAGGTATTCTGTGTTCAGACTCAAGGCAGCACCTGCTAGGTTAGTAATCAAAAATGAATTTAATCTTGCCTGGATGGGAGAAGAAACTAAAAGGGTAAATAAATGACAGAGCTTAGGTTAGTATGATAGCACTAGGTTGCTAAGAAATCTATTAGCATGAACCAACAGCCAAGCGAGTTATGCGTTAGCAGAAGCTGCTCCTGCTATGTGTTCTTGCCAATCACTAGTGTGCCTCTGCCAAATCAATGTCACATTTAATTTATTCACATTCAAATCTATTGCAAACATCCTTTGATCAATTACAATAATGAAAATGTACACTGAGTTTCATTGTTTTGACATGCTTTCATTAACTTTCCTCCTGCTTTTTTTCAAAACACTTCTAATTGCAAGAAGTTGATCTCAATGGTTCTTGTTATTTGAGGGGACAATTGTAAGGTTTGTTTATATTCTTTTCTGGCTAGGAATTTCTGGCATTAAGTTTTCTTTCTTTGAACTTGAGCCAGATTAATTATTAAATCTAGAAATGTCACTAAAGTGAACTAATCACAGAGCTCAGGTCATTAATAGTTTTGCAGGTGGCATTTCCTTTAATAAAATAAATGAACGTCCATATATATGCAAAAAAGGGACCTCTGAACATAAAGACATAATTATTTAATTGAAAAAGAAATTTAGCAGTTAAACATTAATAAAAAATAATTAGAGTCACTTAACTTTAGTCCTATTTAATTGAACTACCCTTGTGGAAGACAAAGAAAACCTTGCTCCCTTGTGTGAAAAGGGGAAAGACCATGATTCCTGGGAGAAAAGGCAATGTCAGGTCCCCACGGCTTTCTGGGTTTGGCCTCTGAGAAAGTGAAAGAAATAGGAGAGAGGCAAGAGCCCTGGAGGAGAGGCAGCTCCATCTGTGAATGATTGCTAATGTTTACTGAACATGTGCCAGCTACTGTAGGGAGAAAAGAGTCCTTCTCTCCTGGGTTGAGAGAAGGAAGAAGAGTTGGGCAAGAAGAGGTGAGACACAGAATTAGAGATGCTTCAGTTCAGGCTTTACAGAGCCTGCCCTAGAGAATCAAAAATGTCATGGCCAGAGGTTGTGCTCCCAGGATCTGATGCAGGGGACTACAGGAGTTGTGGCCCTGAAGATATCCTCATTCATTCATGTGTTTTTCATTCTTTCACTCAAATATATATTAAACACCTACAGTTCAAGACCCTAGGAATACAGAGAACAACACCTGGCTCCTATTTTTACGGAGCTTCCTGGGGGGACAGAGAGGAAGCTAAGCAAAGGAGGTAGCTTGCTGTAACACAGAATTATCTAGGAGTCAAGACAGGGAAGAGCCGGGTAAGCACCAATGGCCTATTATGTGGCTAATGCTTACAGTCCTTTCATATTCACTCACTCACTCGATCATTCGTATATTAAACGAGAGCACACTATATGCCAAGGATAGAGTTAAAAGACAACTTTTACCTTGTGCTCAATCTGTGGAAGAGAGGTAGGTAAAAAAGAAACTACATATAAGTTCTGTGACAATACTAGCAAAGAATGCTGTGAGAATGCATAAGAAAAGCTGGTGTCCCGATTATCCACAGAGTGCCCTGATTCCTTAGAGTAGGAAATGGTGGTTAGTCCATAATCTGGGGTGAGATGTTAATTGCTATTGGGTTGTTATTGCTGCAAGGCCTTTCCAGTGGACAGGCTAGGGAATATGTATTTTTTTTTCTTCAGGAAAAATATATCATCATTTCATAATGATATTTCCAATTCAAATTTAATATTACAAGACTTTTATTTAACTGCTTTTATGCTATAGATATTGGTTCCTAGGAATATTTATCTCATATATATGTGTGTGAAATAAAAATGCCAATATTACTGCTAACAGTAATATTACCAAATATAGTTGAGGATTTCTTGTCCTTAGAATATACTCACTGAAGGGGCCGGCCCGGTGACGCACTGCTACAGTGCGCCGCTTGGGAAGCGCGGCGGCACTCCTGCCGAGGGTTCGGATCCCACATACAGACTGGCCGCTCACTGGCTGAGCGAGGTGCAGGAGCAACACCGAGGGTTGCGATCCCATTGCCGGTCCCGGTCCAGTGCGGGCGCAACACTGAGGGTTGCGATCCGTTGCCGGTCACGAAAAAAGACAAAAAAGGGGGGGGGGAAGAATATACTCACTGAAGATGTACAATGTGTTAAAGTCATTTGAAATAATTCTTTTCTGTGTGGTTATGCTATCTGCTTGACATACAAGTAAGTTCATTTATTTCAGATTTTTTAATTTGGGGGGACTAATATATTTTTATTTTTATTATTATTATTTTTTTTACAGTACAATGGTCTTGGTCTTCTATATTTTTTACACCCATTATGCCATGAATTCATAGGGAACAGTTCTAACAGCTCAGGCTCCTTGCCATTGGTTCTCACAAAGTGTGCTTCTCTGGGTAGAGCAGGCTGGCGCTTCAGTTGAATCCAGGTTCCTTTCTCTTTTGCTTCCTTCTTTTTCTGATCATTTTCCTTCACGCATTTCAGGAAGCTGTCTCAGCTCTAGAGTGCTTAATATGTTCAATACGCACATTAATTCTCTTGGCAAGAATCTTGCCCTTAACTTCTTTGTTTACAACAGTGCCAACAGCATGCTGGGTAACACTGCAGACTCTTCCAGTTTTACCATGGTAACATTTGTGGGGCATTCCTTTTTGAACAGTTCCCATTCCCTTGATGTCTACAATATCACCTTTCTTGTAGATTCACATGTATGTGGCCAAAGGAACAACTCCATGTTTTCTAAAAGGCCTAGAAAACATACATCAGGTGCCTCTCCTCTTTCCCTTTTCTGTTCATCATTTTGGCGAATTACTGGAAGACGGTGGTTCCAGCCGAAAAGCTGGGGGACTAATATATTTTTAAATTATGTAAAATATTTACATGGTTCCAAAGTCAAAACTATATAACAAGATATAATTTTAAAAGTCTATCTTCCATCCTTGCTCTTCCACCCTGTTCCCTCCCTCCTATCATTTTTACTACTTTTCTATTTATCCTTCTATTGTTTCTTTTATGAAATAAGCAAATATGTGTGTATATCTCAATCCATCTCTCTGCACCCTTACACAAAAGCTACTATCAACTGTTTTTCATCTTACTCTTTTCACTTGACAACATATAATGAAGATCATTCCATGACAGCATATGTTCACCTTTCCTTTTTAGCCTCATAGGACTCCACTGGCTTCTGTTTTTCTTTCTTTTCTCTTTTCTGGTGGCTGGCCAGTATGGGGATCAAACCCTGCACCTTGGTGTTATCAGCACCATGCTCCAACCAACTGAGCTAATCAGCCAGCCCCTATACCATGGCTTATTAACAGATACACATTTGGGTTGTTCCTAATCTTTTACTGTGACATATTTACTATTATTATTATAAATAGCACTGTGAATTACATGAGTGCATATTTTCACCAGAATTTTTTTTTTTTTTTTTTTGTCCTTTTTGAGACCGGCCGCACTGCGCTCAGCCAGTGAGCGCACCGGTCATCCCCATATAGGATCCGAACCCGCGGCGGGAGCACTGCTGCACTCCCAGCACCGCACTCTCCCGAGTACGCCACAGGCTCGGCCCCACCAGAAAATTTTGAGTAGATTTCTACTAGAAGTTGGATTGCTAAGGCAGAGGGTAAATGCATATACATTTTGCTGGCTATAAGGAAATGGGCTTTTGCCTGCCCTTTCTGCCTCTTTCTTCCCCTCTGTCTCCCACACTCAGTGCCTAGAACAACATCTAGCACGTAATAGGTGCTCAATATGAATTTGTTAAATAAATGAATTTGGCTATGTGCACTTCACTCACTACTAATTGAGCAGATTAACTTGGTATACTTCAGTTATATTATAAATCCAAATCTAAACTTAAATAGCTGGTAATCAAAAACAAGTCATATCCCATTATTAACACAACAAATTCTGATTCTAAATGGCTTAAAGCTCTTCTCTTCATAATGTTGAAAAAGCCTTTAAGATCCTAAAAATTGAGAACAGATAGGTACAATTCTATTTATACTCTTAAGAATGTATTTATACTCTTGAAGATGTATACTAGTTTTGTAAAATCAATGTGGTAAAGATGACTCAGTTTACTACTTTTGAAAATTAAGAAAAAATTATTTTTCTCTCTTTGTGTACCCTTTACT